AGGCTCAGCGGGCTGAGATGGTCAGCCAGTTCCAGGCCATGATACTGTCTCACTGGAACAAGGCCCTCCGGCTCTTCGCCACCAACGGCACTTCCCTCCAGCCTTTGCCCAAAGCCCCGCCCCAAGTCAGAATTTCTGCCCCCCTCTGACCAGCACAGAAAGACCCCAAAGGGGGAGACTCTCTGCAGCAACACAAATGTCCATTGCACATATCCGGCCCAGGGGCCGTAGTTTGAGGATCTCTGATTTAGTGCAATATAAAAAATTCAAATAATTTTTCTGCAGACCACCAAAATTTTCTCGCGGACCTCCAGTGGTCCGCGGACCACCAGTTGGTGACCGCTGCTCTAACCATCCTACGTCTCACAGAAGACAACAGGGTCGGAGTCTTCCTCCCTGGTCCTGCTCTTCTCTCAGAAACACAAGACATTTAAAAGGAAGTCAAGTGTTCTCTTTCATTCAACTTTTTTATCCCCTCCATTAAGAATCTCAGTTGGTGGTAACCCATGGCTAACCAGAACCGGCCTAGAAAGCTAAAGGTATCAGTATTGATTAGTACTTGGACTGGAGACTATCAAGAACTGCTAGGGCTGTAGGCTAAATTTGCAAAGTGGGGGAAAAAATATCCCAGAAGGTAATTCTGTATTTTGGGCAAGATAACTGGATGATTGTGTCAACGGTCACCAGAAACTGAACTGAATTCAAGAATGCTTTTAGCTTCCCCTCCTCCATATGAAGGAGTTTGGGCCAGTCCGTGTAGTTTTCCTCACTCAGGGACACCTAATAAGCTTTATATATGAAGTAAGAGTCTGAACCAAGTGATTCCTGATCTTGGGCTAACCTAACCTTTAGAGCAAGCTTTAAGGTCCAGATGTTTGTTTTTTAACTGAAACCTCAATAATCAGATGCCGATTAGTTGGCTCATGACAAACATCCACATACTAAAATAAGGAACAGCATCCTATAAGCACATATTGAAACTAATTCTTATCTGAATTGAATGTTGAACACACAGGCTTTTACAGCAAAAATCAATTTCTGGGCCTGCTAATCTCCTTAACCTTCAGCACTGCCATTTTTTTCCCCAGTCCAATTTAGAATAGGTCTACCTAATCTTGCATGCTAGATGCCCTGATGTTGTCCACATCTGGCAGCTGTAACGTACAGCACAATTTAAATATATTTGGCATAGTTTAGCTATTGTTGGAACATGCTGAATGCATTTTGAATATATTCAAAATCACAGTCACGTAGGATGGGTTGCTATATTGGGATAAGCCAGGGGTATACAAACCTGGCCCCTTGAAGAGTGGTGGACTTCAACTCCCAGAATTCTCCAGCCAGCATGCGCTATAAATATGAGCAAGTTGCTGGCTGGGGAATTCTGGGAGTTGAAGTCCACCACTCTTCAAGGAGCCAAGTTTGGACACCCCTGGGCTAAACCATAGTACACATTTCTTATTGCACTGTAAAACATTAGTCATCATGGTTTATGATTTAGAGCAGGGGCCCAGGGGGCCAGATCCGCCACGCAGGGTGCTTAGACCTGGCCCACAGGGCTGTCCTGGAAACAGCAAAGGACCAGCAAGCCGTCACAACCAAAAATGTAGCTTAGAAGCCAGTTTTTGCTGGCAGAGCGCTCGGACCACCACAGGTGTCCCGACATGAGTGACCTCGAGCTGGCCACACCCACCCTGGCCACGCCCACCCCGGCTCCCCGAGGTCAGACACAACCCTGACGCGGCCCTCAATGAATTCCAGTTTGACATTCCGCCTGATTTCGAGTGACACACAAGCCCATCCCACTGAGACTAAAGAAACCATAGTTAAAGAAAACAATGAAGAAACTCCATCACAGTACCTTGTGGTACTTTTAGAACAGCAATAATGTTCATGCATGACCGATTCTACAAATTTGCCATTTTTAATATTCATGAAGGGAAATACATATGTAAATGAGCACAAGCACTTCAGAACTAAGCAGGTAGCTAAAGAGAAGGGGGGGGGAAGAGAAGAATAAATTCCTAGGAATAAATAAATATAGTCCCTGAGAAAGGAGAGACTGAACGTGACATTCCATTTTAACTCGTGGTTTATTAAAGTTTGAACGAAACACAATTATCTGCATTCGCAAAGCATGTAAAACCAAAATGTTTTGGTTGATTTTTAGTGAAGAATACTGCATGACCTCAGGCAGGTGTGGTTTGTTCAGTAACATTCGGTTAAACAATCCATAGCTTAATGTGTTAGACAGTCTTTGTCAGGCACTCTTAACTCAGAGCTTTTGTATACCCAGGCTAGCTACTGATAATAGCTTTATTCATCCGGATGATATGTCTGGCTGCAAAGAACTACATGCTGAACAGTCTACAGAGTAAAGATCCATTTTTTAAAAAAACAAACAAACAAATAAATAATTGGAAATGCAAATAATTTTAATTTTAAACAAGTTTTATTTCACTTTGATGGATTTATTATAACCTGGCTTGAAATCCTTAAAGCATTCAGCATCCATATTAGCTTGTTAAAAAAATAAAATAAAAAGAACTTGTATCTGCAGTGCTTTCAGATTCAACACGAAAAGCAATTACAGCAAATAAACTAAATGCAGTTGCAGAAAGAAAAGGCTTATTTTCCAGCAATGGACAAGAAAACTAAAGACTCTAAATTGCATGAGGCTTTGTTTTATCCATCCAATTCTTCACTCTCCAGTAAATACCAAGAAGGTTCTGTTAGTCCCATGCGCAAACACAAATTCAATCACCCATTCCAAGATTATACTGCTTAACAGAGCCAGATTGCTGTAGTGGTTAAGGTACCAAGCTCTGAGTTCTAGTCCTGCCTTAGGCACAAAGCCAGTTGGGTGACTTTGAGCCAGTCCTTCTCCCTCATCTCTAGAGGACAGTGGCAAAACACTTCCAAATAAAGTTATCAAGAAAACAGCAGGGACTAGTCTAGGCAGTCACCAGAGCTCAAGACTGACTTGAAAGCAAGGACAGCTAGTTTGATACAGCAGTTAAAGTGCCATGATAGAAATGAAGAGGCCATTAACATCGACATGAAGGCAATTGAGGAACTTTGGACCAGTCCTTCCATCTCAGCTCCAGGAAAGCAATGGAACTGGATGAAGGCCGTGGCAAACCACTTCCCTTGGAGGGCCTGTTTGGTGTAGTGGTAAATTAACAAACTAATAATCCCAAAATCATGAATTCTAATCCCGCTTTAGACACAAAGCCAGTTGGGTGGAGGGGGGGGGGCTTTCGATCACTCCTACACTCACTCACTCACTCACTCCTTCTCCTTCTTTCTCTCTCTCTCCCTCCCTCCCTCTCCATTTCCACTGGAAAGCCAACTTGATGCTGAATATGAGTTCGTATCACACGTGCCTCAGTCAGCTGGGTGACCTTGGGCCAGTCCCTCTCTCTCAGCCCTAGGAAGGAGGCAATGGCAAACCACATCAGAAAATCTTGCCAGGAAACCTGCATGGATTTACCCACAAGCCCCCCCCCCCCCCCAGTAGACACTGAGACAGAGAGATTTCATTTAAGCTGATTCTATCCATATACAGTTAGAATTATCATTAGGAAGACAATTACTAAGGGATTCTCAAATGTGCCTGCCCACTGTCAGAAACAGAAATCAATGTGGTTCATTGACAGGGTTAAGTGTTGGACTAGAACTGAAGTCGCTCTTTTTCAGCCCAGACCAACCCCACCCCTTTGCTGTGAGGAAAAGAAGTAGAGGGAAAGGGTGCAATGCAGACCAATACAAGCATCTAGCAGAAGATGATATCAAGGAGAGAACCAACCTAGAATTGAGGATTAATTTCCTGGCAGCTACAACAATTATTAATCAGCGGAACGGCTTGCCTCCAGAAATTGTGAACGCTCCAACATTGGAAGTTTTTAAGAAGAGATTGGACAACCAATTGTCTGAAATGGCACTGGGTTTCCTGCCTGAGCAGGGGGTTGAACTAGAAGACCTCCAAAGTCCCTTCTAACTCTTATTACTGTGTGTGTGTGTGATAGATAGATAGATAGATAGATAGATAGATAGATAGATAGATAGATAAACATAGATAGATGATGGATGGATAAGATAGATGGATGATGGATGGATAAGATAGATGATGGATGGATAAGATAGATAGATAGATAGATAGATAGATAGATAGATAGATAGATAGGTAGATGGTGGGTGGGTGGGTGGGTGGATAAATAGATAACATAGATAGATGATGGATGGATAAGATAGATGATAGATAGATAGATAGATAGATAGATAGATAGATAGATAGATAGATAGATAGATAACATAGATAGATAGATAACATAGATAGGAGATGGATGGGTAAGATGGATGATGGATGGGTAAAATAGATGATGGATGGATAAGATAGATGATAGATAGATAGATAGATAAGATTATATTAGATTTAGATTTATTTATAAACACACACACATTATATAGGGCCCAAGACAATTCCTCTTCATTCAATGCGACCCAGGAAAGCCAAAAAATTGGAACACACCTCACCTAGAGAAAAAGCAGGACATAAATCTACAAAATAATAATAATAATAGTAGTAGTAGTAGTAGTAGTAATAGTAGTAGCAGTAGTAGTAGTAATGCATTTTTGAATATTCAGTTGACTGAGTTTCATGTTTAATGAATAAAGTAAATAATAATAATAACAAAAAACCAAAAAGGCACCAGCACCTGCCCCCTTTTCTCTCAACGGTGCAGCGACCACCCATTAGCCTGGCATCCGTCTCCCCTTCCAAACCCGGACTTGGCTGGGGATGATGGTAACTGTAGTCCACCCCTGGGGGTTGCACCCGATGCAGGAAAGGATCAGGTTTTTATTTCCAAAGCGGCTTCCTTTCTCTCCCTGGCTTCCAAAATCTCTGGCTAATCTTGCCCCACTGGCTCCAGCCTCGGACACGCTTCCTTAAACCCAGCCCAGCCATTCGCACGTTACATTCACGCGAGTTCCCTCACCCGTTCCTATGACCACCACATCAAACTCGGAAGGCAGGTGGTCCGCCATCTTGGGAGGGGAAAAAAAAAATATTCGCCCGCGGTCACGTGACGGCCTCTGCGTCGGCCGAGCGCTGCCGGAAGCGAGTCGAGGCAGAGAGGCGGCCGGAAGGTCCTTCGCGGGGCATTGTGGGGAGGGTAGTTCGTTTTTCGAACTGGCCGCCCGGGCGAGCGTTACCTTGAGCGCCTTTTTAAAACTAATCCCCCTCCTCCTCCTAATCCATATCAACGTTACCTTAAAATTGCAAGATTTGCAAACTGAATTCAGCAATTCCTCCCTACTGCTGTTTCCCCCAACGGCTGCATAAGGGGTAGACTGCTTTATAGTATGGAGGTTCTATTTTTATATTTAAAGTTTTAAAATATAAAAATAAAGTAAATATAATATATTTTTAGTTTATACTTTAAAAATATTAAAGTTTAATATAAAAGTAAAGTATATATTTTTAGTTTATACTTTAAAAATATGAAAAAGTTTTTAATATAAAATAAAATATATTTTAGTTTATACTTTAAAAATATGAAAGTTTTTAATATAAAAATAAAATATATATTTTTAGTTTATACTTTAAAAATATGAAAAAGTTTTTAATATAAAAATAAAGTAAATATATATTTTTAGTTTATACTTTAAAATATGAAAAAAATTTAATATAAAAATAAAGTAAATATAATATATTTTTTAGTTTATACTTTAAAAATATGAAAAAGTTTTTAATATAAAAATAAAGTAAAATATGTATTTTTAATTTATACTTTACAAATATAAAAAAAATATATGTTCGGAGGTTTTCGCGGGTGTTTGTATGTAGGTCTTTGGTTATTCGGGTTTTCTCCGACGTAAAATTGGAAGTGTTTTGGCGATGTTTCAACAAAGTCTCATTCGTCATCTTCAGGCTGGTGTTTTCGGCTTCGTGCTTCTGGGAGCAATGTGTGATCACAGCTGTTTCTTCCTTTTAACTACCAGTGGGGGTGTGAACTGATTGGGTGGGAGCTTGGCTGTGCTCTGATTGGGTGGAGGTGTGTTCTGATTGGATGGGGGTGTGTTCTGTTTAGGTGGGGGCTTGGTTGAGCTCGGGTTAGTCTGAGTTGCAGGGGGATTTGAGCTGGTGAGCTGTGTTGCTGTTGTTTGGCTTCGCCATGTTTCTGAAATGCCTTTTTAGTTGATCCCAAAGGGCAGCAGCTAGTCCAGATTTGACAACGTAACAAGACTTGAGTAAGCCTCTAAATCAGATTATGGAGCAACAGTTCTGAGGAGAGTAGATACATACAAGTGTGTGTCCATCAACCTGTTCTGGTATCTTAGTTCACCATGCAAACAGCTTTGGAGTCCATGTATGAACTTATATATTGTACAATGTTCAGGGTTCAGTCTCAATGTGTGCTTTATAAACTACAATGTAAACTTACATTTGAAGCAAGCAAGCCAATGCATTCATTAGGGTCTGCAGTTTAAGCAAGGGGGCTGGACTAGAAGACCTCCAAGGTCCCTTCAAGTTCTGTTCCGTTCCATTCCATTCTGGGTTCTGAAGTCATGGCTGCTGTTGTTAGTTGCGAAGTCATGTCCAACCCATCGTGACCCCATGGACAATGTTCCTCCAGGCCTTCCTGTCCTCTACCATCCTCTGGAGTCCATTTAAGCTCACGCCGACTGTTTCAGTGACTCCATCCAGCCACCTCGTTCTCTGCCGTCCCGTTCTTCTTTTGCCCTTAATCGTTCCCAGCATCAGGCTCTTCTCCAGTGAGTCCTTCCTTCTCATTAGGTGGCCAAAAGATTTGAGTTTCATCTTTAGGATCTAGCCTTCTAAAGAGCAGTCAGGGTTGATCTCCTCTAGGATTGACCAGTTTGATCGCCTTGCAGTCCAAGGGACTCGCAGGAATCTTCTCCAGCACCAGAGTTCAAAGGCCTCAATTCTTTGACGCTCAGCCTTTCATGGTTGAGCGCCAAAGCCTTGGTAGTACAAGGGTTTAAGGCACCCTGTTATTAAGCTGCTTAAGACCAGCTGCCTGCAATTACTGCAGGGTTCGAATCTCGCCAAGGCTCAAGGTTGACTCAGCCTTCCATCCTTTCTAAGGTAGGTGAAATGAGGACCCAGTTTGTGGGGGCAATAAGCTGACTTTGTATAAATATACAAAAGGATGAAGGCTATTGCTGAGCACATTGTAAGCCGCCCTGAGTCTTCGGAGAAGGGCGGCATATAAATCAAATTAAAAAAAAAAAAGTCATGGTTAAAGCAAGGCAAAGCTTAATGTGATATGTAAATCCAAACAGCCTCTTATTCTCTATGCAGTCTTTTTCTTCTTCGTTACTCGTCGTTCTCCAGGGTATGATCTGACATTCAGAAGTAATCCCAGACATAAAATCATTTGTTCTCACCTTTTAACAAGCGGCTATTACAGACAGGAAGGTTTCGGGCTGACTTTCCAGGAATAGATACTGCAGACTTGTGGGTTCCCAAATAAGCATGAAGACATACAGTAGCTTTAATATCTGATACCACGAAGGGAAAAAAAGCTGACTCTTATTCCATTAGTGCATTGTTATAAGGTAGTGATGGCTAACCTTTTTGTCGTTGCGTGCCGAAAGTGCAATGCGTGCGTGAGCCCCGCATCCTGCCCCTCTGCACATGTGTGTGTGATTCCTCCGCGGCCCGTTTTTGGTCACAGGAGGCTGCAGGGAGGCATGCCAATGATGCAATGCGCGTGTGACCCCCCCGTGCCCCACTCCCCGTACATGCATGCACAGCCCCCATGCGCTCCTCCCGCCCCACACACATGCGTGAGGGACCCCTCCCTCCTGCGGCCCGTTTTTGGTCCCAGGAGGCTGCAGGGAAGCCTGCTGGGCCCAAAACGGGCCATGGGGGGTGCAGCGACCCCCCCCATGCTCCCCCCGCACATGCGCATGTGACTCCCCCGCGCATGAGCCACATGTCTCCCGCATGCGCCCTGCTCCCCGCGCATGTGCAGCAGAGACTTGAATATTAGCTGGCCGGCGGGAGGTGCATGCACATGTGGGGTGAAGCTAAGCTGGGTGACGGCTCACCCGCCCGCAGAGAGGGCTCCATGTGTCACCTGTGGCATGCGTGACATTGTTTCGCCATCACGGTTATAAGGTCTCAGTTCACCCACAAGAGGGAAAAAGCAAGGGTGAAATGCTCCCGGTTCAGACCGGATCGCCCAATCCGGTAGCAATGGCGGGTGGTTCAAAGAACCGATAGCAAAACTTCCTGCGCCCCCGCCCCCCATGCCCTTCCTCGGAAGAGGTTGTAGAAAAAATGCTTTTAAAAGTTAAAAAAAAAAAGCCTCTGATGATCCTGCGGCTCAGCTGGGCATGGTGGGGGGGGCAGGGATTTTTGCTACTGGTTCTCCGAGCCACCCGCCGCCATCGCTACCGGATCGGGCGATCCGGTCCGAACTGGGAGCATTTCACCCCTGATGTTACCTAGTTTGGGTAAAGAAACGCCTGCAAGAAAACCACCAAGCTCAGAAAGAGCACCAAGAACCCCTCATTTCAAGACTGACCTACAAATATTCTCCTTTATTAGAGTAGAAGACTTCCAAAACTTCCAACCCTATGATCCTTTTGAGTATTTCTCCCGATAGAACAACTAAGCTTTCCTTCGCTCCTGTTAAATTCATTCATAAAACCAACAGTCAAGGCAATATCATTTCATCCTGATAGTCATTTCTCACTGAGCTGGTGGGGGGGGAAAGCTGTTTTCAGGAGCAGCAGAGCTGGCCAAACGGACATCCAAGTTTCTTTTCTTTTTTTTCTTTTTCTACAAGATTTGTTATTTTTCCCTGTTTTGCCACCAAATGCACTGCTCAAAAAAATAAAGGGAACACAAGCAGAAGACATCCGAGATCTGAATGAATGAAATAGCCTTATTAAATACTTTGTTCGTTACATACAGTAGTTTTGTGTTCCCTTTAGTTGTTTGAGCAGTGTATAAACTACTGTATGTAAAGAACAAAGTATTTAATAAGGCTATTTCATTCATTCGGATCTCGGATGTCTTCTGCTTGCGTTCCCTTTATTTTTTTGAGCAGTATATTTTCTTGCAACACCCCCATCACTGGATTAAAACCTCATGGAAGAGAGAAACGAGGGAGGGGGGAAAAAAACACAAGTATGAATAATTTGTATAGTCGCTGGCACGGCCCATTAGAAAAATATCTTACAGTCTCCCCCCCCTTAGCGATTTAATTGCAGTGTCATAGTAACAGAAAAGGAGCACACTCAATTCTGCATGGATGAATAAGCACATTCAATAAAAAAGATTTAACAGAGTCAGTCAAACACTGGTTTAAACATTTTCTGCATAACAGACCGCAAAATGATATTCGTTTTACCAATACATCCTTCTACATTGGAAACAAACAGAAAGGCCCAGCATCTTACCCAGCATCTTACCGGCATATTCAACAGCGTGAGTGAAAAATTGCCTTATATTTCACAGAACAAGTCCTTTTTGTCAATTACAATCGTCTACTACACCTATTGAAGAAGGAGCAAGATTACACGGGAAAAAAAAAAGAGGCAGCCTTTGCAGTCATTCAATCACCATACAGTTGCTTTCTTTCCCATCTTTATCTTTTATCAGTACACTTCTGGGTGCATTTGTAATCTAGGGGTGGCCTTTGAAGAAACAAGAGCAATTAATGAGTAGGTGTGGAATGATGAACAACGTGCGACAATAAATCGTGCAAAATTGGATTTAGCGTTTTGTTTCGTTTTTTAATTCTTCCCTCGTAACCGTCAAACGCTTCTCTCTTTATAAGTAATTTTTGCGTTATCGTATGCCAATTGCTTTCCATAATATACAGTTTCACGGAGCGAGGGGGGAATTCAGAAAGCGTGTTTTGGTTTAAGTCGATCCATCGATAAATGTCTGTATCATTGCTATCAAAATGGTAACCTTCAGCCTTACTTCATGTCTCTAATAAGTATTTTTGTCTCTGTCTCATTAACAGAGTTACGCAGTAACTCCACAACTAAGTTGCGTTATTGTCCTCTCGGAAAAAAAGGAGTCAAATTTGTTGTTACACCATA